TAACAGAATTTTATTGTATGCTTCTGACTACAATTTAGCTGCATATATTTAAGGTATTTTAAAACATTTATTTACTGGGGGGCAGTACAGTGAGTGTGTGTATGTGTTTGTGTAAGTCAGAGTACAGCTTGCAGAGTCGGTTCTCTTTCCATCACATGAATTCTGGACATCAAACTCAGCTCTTCAGGCTTGCAGCAAGTGCCTTTCCCTTCTGAGCTATACTGTTCAGCTGTTTTTCCCATCCTGTTTTTCTTTTTGAGACAGGGTTTTACCCTGTCACCTGATTTGGCCTAGGAATTTTATAGCCACGTCTCCAACTCTTAGTGATCCTTCTGACTTAGTTTATAGAATACTAGGGTTACAGGTATGAATGATTATGCTTGATTTAAGATTTTATTTTCATTTTAATGGTATTAAAACAAACAAAATATTCTAGTCCTTAAGACTACTGATTCTGGTTTTCTTCTACAACAAAACTAAATGGAAATTATAATATTTGAATATGTTGCTTAAAGCCAACCTATCAAATTTTCCTGAAAGTTAGGGTAGAATAGAGGAGAAAATGAGTGACCAAAAGATAATTCCTAAGAATATAATATAACATCATCTTCTTCCTCCTCCCCTAGCCCCTTCTCTCACCCCCCTTTTGGAGACAGGGTCTCACTGTGTAGCCCTGGCTGTCCTGGAACTCACTATATAGACCAGTCTGGCCTGCAACACACATAAATCCACCTGTCTCTGCCTCCCGAGTGCTGGGATTAAAGGCGTGCATCACCACACCTGGCAACAACCATTCTGGAGAGTTGAGACTGATGATGAACTTGGGTGTTTGAGAAGATGATTAGTGCAATGATTGCTTTGGATTATGTGTGGTGCTTGGACCCAATTTTGTTCCTACTGGGCAGAATCCTATTAGTACCATGATACAAGCAAGTATGGTGCATGTCTTTTTTTCTGCAGTTAAAATGACACACAAATACAGATGGGTCTTTGAAAAGAACATGTTAAGAAGATAAGATTAAGGCTGGAGAGATGGCTCAGTGGCTAAGAGCTGTGGTTTCTCTTCTAGAGGTCTTGAGTTCAATTCCCAGCACCCCCATGATCACTCACAACCATCTATAATGAGATCTGGTGCTCTCTTTTGGAATGCAGGCATACATAACAAATAAAAAAATCTTTAGGGCTGGAGAGATGGCTCAGAGGTTAAGAGCACTGACTGTTCTTCCAGAGTTCCTGAGTTCAATTCCCAGCAACCACATGGTGGCTCACAACCACCTTGAATGACATCTGGTGCCCTCTGCTGCCATGCAGGTAGAAGATTGTATACATAAATAAATGAATAAAATGTAAAAAAAATCTTTAAAAAAAGATCATGCTTTTCTCTACAGGTGCTTATGAACATCAGAATGCTAAGTGCTCAAATAAAAAGGCATTTATCTTGTCCTATACAGAAAATATTTCTTCCTTATGTATGATTAACATCTTTCTTCTATGCATTTGGCATCTGTTTTGATCAGAAAAGGATCATTCAACTTAATCAAATTATTGTTCTGCTCATTTATGCCCAATTCCTATGTGGCCACGTTAGGTCCCTACAGTATACACCCTTTCCTGGAATGCCTCTGCACAAGGAGAAAACAGCGCTTAGAGATTCTTTGGAGATGTCCAGTTAGAAAAACTCAAACATGTGTTTCCAGTAGAAATTTAACTTGGGTGCTTGAGTTGACAGGACCCTGAATTATGTGTTTCTGGTAGGTTATGATGGAGTGGTAGACTGCCAGGGTTTTCATCTTGGCTTGGCTACTAGCCAAGCTAAAAGACCACAACTTTCTGGACCTCACTTTCCTCATTTGTCAGATGGGGGCAATTATAGCTCCTACTTTATTCAGTTGTGTTGATTAAGTGAGCTAAAACTTGTAACACAGAGAACAATGGCATGGTTATCGTGAGCAATAAGCAGGAACTATTATTATTGGTGAGATTCGGAGGGCTGTTTGATTAAAGCCTTTGTTCTTAATCTTTGTGTCTCTGGTGTTGGGAACTGAATCCTGAGCTTTCTGTATGGTACAGAAGTGTTCCACCAAGGAGCTACACCCTAAATTATCTTTTTTGGGGGGGGGGTTCACGCAACAGCCCAGGTCAGCCAGGAATTCTCTACGCAGTTTCCTTAGTACTGGGATTACATTGATGGGATACCATCTCACTGGACTTAGCACATTGCTTGTTTTCTACAAGTTATTTAATAGATGTGCAACAGAAATAGAAGTAACAAGGTCTCCCTCTGTAGTGTTGGCTATCCTGGAACTCCTTATATAGACCAGGCTGGCCTTAAACTCGGAGATCTGATCTTGGATTAAGGATGTGTGCTGCCACACCCAGCCAAAAGTCTTCAATTTATTTTTTTAACTTTTCTTCTGAGGGGAATCAGAACCAAGCCCACTGCTGGATGACCAGAATGAGCTCTGCTCCTGATGTGGACCTTTTTACAAGGCCTCCATTTTGTCAACTTTTTGTTAAGACTTTCACATACTTTATTTTGCTTTTTAGCTCTATCATCAAAATAATAGTAGACTTCATGGAAGCCAAGGAGTGACAAACTGCCATTTGCCATTTAAAACTTTGACATACATAGGGCAACATTTTGAGATACCAGGGACGGTTTCTTTCTCACTACAGTCCAAAGAAACGTCTTTCTGTCAGTGTACATCCTCTTGCAGTTTCAATCCATTAGGACAGCTTCTATTTTCTATTAAAAAATTGCTGAGAAAGCATGTTCAATATGCACTTCAGAAACTGGTGAGTCACTCGCAACAAAAGCTGCTGGGGTTATGTCCACCAACACAGGTGACATCCAAATAGTGTACTACAAAAGATTTTCTTTTTAAGGACTCAATCTCCCTAAGTAGCTCAGGCTGCCCTGGAACTCAAGGCTCTCCTGCCTCTTCCTCAGTGCTGGGGTTACAAGCTATACCACCATACCCAGGGGAATGACTAGTTTTGTAAAAAACTCAAATGGTCTCAGTTGTCTGAAAATGCAGGCATTCACACAAACTAACTGTAAGACCAAATTGCCTTCATCACTGAATATTGCTTTAAGCTGGTGAAGGCTTTCAATTTAAGCACTCAGGAAATCCTGAGATACAATGAGTTTAAGGTCACCTTATCTCACTTAAAAAAATGTATGGGGTGGTGGTAGCCCCCAGGGAGGCAGAGGCAGGTAGATCTCTGTGAATTCAAGGCCAGCCTTGTCTACATAGTGAGTTTCAGGATAGCCACAGCTACACAGAGAAACTGTCGGTGGGCGGGGAGTGTAAATTCTTTTTATTTTATTTTATTGGGAGACTGACAATGAGGATGAGGTAAAGGGGCATGTGTGAGAGTTTGTTACAGGCCAGACAAGGGATGTCAGAGGCATTTCTATGCAACAGTATAGGTGACATTCAACCTTTGATGTATAGGCTGAAGAGTACCAAGCTCAAAGGAAACCGAAGATAACATACAGTTTTGTTTGTGTTAACCTCCCAAAATTAGACGGGTGATTTTCCCGAGTCAGACGTCAATCTTGTAAACAATATGTATTCCCTAAACCTAGATTAGAATACAAACAAAAAGCTCTCAGACGACCCTTTTTATCTTTACTTGCTTAAAAATAATTCCTGGGTAAGATGTACAGTCTTGGTTAGAAGCAAAGCAATGTTTAGAGTGGTTTTGACATGTAATACTTCGGAGGCAGCTAACAGAAAATTGCCTGTAAGCACACCTGAACCTAACTACATTCATGAAATGTAGTTTCAAAAATAAAAAAAAAGATGGAGAGGATTTCAGCTGAACCTACTGCTTTTCTAGCCCTAAAAGGCATTCTTCACTAAATTCCTTTAAATTCCAGTTAAGACCAAGCCCTGGCCTTTTTACCTCAGGGGGCCACCACACTGCGGACACAAAGACAATGAATGGCTGGAGGGAAGCTCCACCTGTTGGTTATCTGGCTGGCCTGGCTCCCCCTTCCCCCCAGGTACCCAGGGGGACAGAAAGGACCACTCCCTGCTGAAACAGCTCGGAAGATTACGGGTCAGCTGCGCTAACATCTGCTAGTAACCTTGCCCTGCCCGTCGAAGGGCTAGGACCGCGTGGCACCGCCACCTCTCTGCACAAAAGGTACCCGTGGCGTGGGGACGCGGCCAGCTCTGGGGGATCCGCAGCCTGGGCATCCCCGAGGGGGGGAAGGGCGATGCGGGTCGAGGGGGAGCCCAGGGGCGGCTGGGAGGAATGAGGAGGAGGATGAGGATGAGGGCCCCGCCACGCGCCGAGGAAGAAAGCCTGACTCATGTCGTGGCAGCAGCGGAGGGCTCCTGGGAACTGCAACTCGTGATGCCGTTGCCGAGGAGAAAGCCTCATTAGCCATTCCGCAGGCCGGGGGGATACCGCCCAGGGGCGCGCACGCCCGAGACCTAGCGCTGCTCACCCGCCTCGCCCTCCCGGGTGCGCGTGGGAGCCGGCAGCGGCCACGCCTAACTTGCGCGCGCGCCGCGTGGCCCCACGCCCCACCCCAGACTCTCCACGCGACCCGGATTCGCTCGCGCGCCCAAGTGCCCCACCCCCACCGCCCTCCGGCGTCGGCGGCTCCGCCGGCCTTCGGCAATTTCCGTAGAGACCGAACCGAGAGCTCGGCGCAGCCCGAAGACAGGCCGCCTCCCCGAGTCAGACCCGGCTTTATGTCTGCAGCGCCGGCGCGCACGCGCAGACGCCATCTTCCCTCCTCTCCTCCGCGACCCCTCCCCCCGCCGCCTTCTCCTCCTCCTCCTCCTCCTCCTCCTTCAACTCGGTCGGCGCTCGACCCTCCTCCTTTCGCGTTGGGGCGCTGGTCCCTCCTCTCTTGATGCCGCGAGAGACCAGGGGCTACAGAGCAGCCCGAGAAGAGCACTAGTAACAACCACCACAGCCCCCTCCTCGCCCGACGCCCTCCCACTCCCCCGCCCCGCGCCGCCACCGACCAACCCCACCTCTCATTTCTTTGAACGGCGTCGGCTGCAGTCGCTGCACCAGCCCCGTCTGGCCGCCGCCGCCACCACCGCGAAAGGAGCCACCGCCGCCGCCGCCGCCCGCGGCCCCCCTCCCTCCCGGCCGCGGGAGCAGCACGGTGCCGAGGCAGCCGGCGGGCTGAGAAGAGGACGCGAGCTCGCCCCTCCGCTCCCGCGCACGTCCCGCCGCCCGCCGGAGCAGCCCGGGCGCCGGCGCCCTCTTCCTCCCCGAGGACGTGTGCCGAGCCGAGCGCCTGCCCCGAGGGACGAAAATGCTCGGGCTCCATGGCTGCCAGTGATGGAGCGGTCCCTGGGCTCCCGCTGCCGCCGCCACCACCACCGCCGCCGCCGCGCCCCGGCCGCGCTCCGCGAGGACCCGGCGTCTCTGCGCGCCCGCCCGCGCCTCGTTGCTGGGCTCACCGTACCGGGCGCCCCTCCGCCGCCGTCGCCGCCTCCCCGCTCGCAGCCGCGCCGCCCGGGTCCCAGCCGCGGCCAGTCTTTCCTCCCGGAGCAGCCGTCGCGAGCCCAGGGGGTTTGAGAGGGGCCGCGGGCCGCGGGGGGGGAGGCCCGAGCGGGGCCGGCCGCGCCGGCAGGGGAGGTTGGAGCGACGCTGAGCTCGGGGCTCGCCGGCGGCCGCGGCGCCGGGGGTGGCGAGGGCCGGGCGACCGCTCGCTCCGCGCTGCCTCGGTGCAGGGCGAGCGGCGGGGCTTTGCAGTGGCCGCCGCCGCGGGAGGAGGGGGCTGAGCTGGCTCCGGAGTTGGCCAAAGAAGGTGGGCATTTCTCGCTTCTCCTCGCCTCCCCCGCCCCCTCCTGGGCTCCCCTCCCTCCCGCCCCGCACCCCACGTGAAGCGGAATATAAAGGGGGGTGTGTGAGTGGAGGGGAAAGTGAATGGCCAAGGACTGAAGGGGTCCCCCTCCGGTTCCCCAGCCACCTGGTTCACCCGGTTCATCCTCCCTTCCCGAAGCTAGCCCTCGAAGGCAGGAGCAGCCGGCGCCTTCGGCAGAGGAGGAGGAGGAGGAGGTGGAGGAGGAATCGCGTCGGGCGGAGCTTCAGGTCCTGTTCTCCTCTCCGGCTTCTCCATACAAAGATTACGGTGCAGAAGGAAATTGCACTCGCCTCCTCCGCCCCCCCGGTACCCAGCACAATGCACCAGCCGCCCGAGTCCACTGCCGCGGCGGCCGCCGCTGCAGACATTAGTGCTAGGAAGATGGCGCACCCGGCAATGCTCCCTCGAAGGGGCAGCGGTGGTGGCGGCGCCTCTGCTCTCAATGCAGCAGGTACCGGCGTCAGTAGTGCTGCTCCATCTTCTGAGGATTTTCCTCCTCCTTCGCTGCTCCAGCCGCCGCCTCCTGCTGCATCTTCCTCGCAGGGACCACAGCCTCCGCCTCCACAAAGCCTGAACCTCCTCTCGCAGGCTCAGCTGCAGGCACAGCCTCTTGCGCCGGGTGGAACTCAGATGAAAAAGAAAAGTGGCTTCCAGATAACTAGCGTTACTCCGGCTCAGATCTCTGCCAGCATCAGCTCTAACAACAGCATAGCAGAGGACACGGAGAGCTACGACGATCTGGATGAGTCTCACACGGAGGACCTGTCTTCTTCGGAGATCCTCGATGTGTCGCTCTCCAGGGCCACTGACTTGGGTGAGCCTGAACGCAGCTCTTCAGAAGAGACTCTGAATAACTTCCAGGAAGCCGAGACCCCCGGGGCAGTCTCTCCTAACCAGCCCCACCTTCCTCACCTCCCACAACAGAACGTTGTGATCAATGGGAATGCTCATCCACACCACCTCCATCACCACCATCACGTTCATCACGGGCACCACCTTCACCATGGACACCACCACTCACCCCACGCTGCCGTGGCCAGCCCGTCCATCCCTGGAGGGCCACCCTCGAGCCCAGTGTCCAGAAAACTCTGTACAGCTGGAAGTTCTGATGGTGGTGTGCCAGTTGTACCTACTTCTGCTGTATCATCGAGTGGCTTGCCCGCATCTGTGATGACTAATATCCGTGCTCCAAGTACTCCAGGCAGCATAGGTATAAATTCTGTTACTGGCACGAATGCAACCAGTAATGTTAACATTGCTGCTGTGGGTAGTTTCAGTCCTAATGTGACAAGCAGCGTGCTTGGTAATGCTAATCTAAGTACAAGCAATATTCCTAATGCTGCTAGTGTAAGTGTTGGGCCTGGAGTTGCCAGTGGTGTTAATGTGAATGTCTTGAGTGGCATGGGCAATGGTACTGTTTCTTCCTCTCCTATTGCTAACAGTGTCCTTAATGCAGCTGCAGGTATCACTGTGGGAGTGGTTTCAAGTCCGCAGCAGCAGCAGCAACCAACAGTTAACACGTCAAGGTTCAGAGTTGTGAAGTTAGACTCTACCTCTGAGCCCTTTAAGAAAGGTAGATGGACTTGCACTGAGTTCTATGAAAAAGAAAATGTCCTGCCGGCTACAGAAGGCGCGGCGATTAATAAAGTGGTGGAGACTGTGAGGCAGACCCCGGCGGAAGTGTCTTCGGAGAGGGAGAGCACTAGCGGGAGTTCCGTGAGCAGTAGTGTCAGCACACTGAGTCACTACACAGAGAGTGTGGGAAGCGGAGAGATGGGAGCCCCTGCTGTGGTGGTGCAGCCGCAGCCGTCACCGGGTCTTCAAGGTGTGGCCCTCCAGCAGATAGATTTCAGTAGCCCTGGTTCACAGAGTATTGCAGCAGTGAGTATACCACAGAGTATTTCTCAGTCACAGATGTCACAAGTACAATTACAGCCTCAAGAATTGAGCTTTCAGCAGAAGCCAGGCCTTCAACCTGTACCTCTGCAAGCCACTATGAGTGCAGCCGCCGGTATCCAGCCTTCCTCCGTCAACGTGGTTGGTGTCACGTCAGCTGTAGGTCAACAGCCTTCCATTTCCAGTTTGGCTCAACCCCAACTGCCGTATTCTCAGACAGCTCCTCCAGTGCAAACTCCTCTTCCAGGGGCACCACCCCAGCAGTTACAGTATGGGCAACAGCAACCAGTGGTTTCTACACAGATAGCTCCAGGCCATGGCCAGTCGATGACTCAAAATCCTACTTCAGAGTATGTACAGCAGCAGCCCATTCTTCAAGCAGCGATGTCCTCGGGACAGTCCAGTTCTGCAGGAGCAGGAGCATCAGTGATCCCTGTGGCTCAGCCCCAGGGAATCCAGCTGCCAGTGCAGCCCCCAGCAGTGCAAGCACAACCTGCAGGGGCATCTGGGCAGCCCATTGGCCAGGCTCACACAGCAGTGCCTGCTGTACCAACCGGCAGTCAAATCGCAAGTATTGGTCAACAAGCAAACATGCCCACTGTAGTACAGCAGCCATCCACCCAAGTTACACCTTCAGTTATCCAGCAAGGTGCTCCTCCATCTTCACAAGTAGTTCTACCTGCTTCAGCCGGGATTCTTCATCAGGGAGTTCAAACTAGTGCTTCAAGCCTTCCTCAACAGCTGGCTATCGCACCCCAGAGTACCTTGTTAACTGTGCCTCCCCAGCCGCAGGGAGTAGAAACAGTGGTTCAAGGAGTTGTTTCCCAGCAGTTGCCCACAGGTAGTCCTTTGCCCTCTGCTAGTAGTATTTCTGTTACAAATCAGGTTAGTTCAGCCGGTCCTGCTGGAATGCCTTCTGCCCCACCAAACTTAGTTCCACCACAGAATATAGCACAACCCCCGGCTACCCAAAATGGCAGTTTGGTTCAAAGTGTTAGTCAATCTCCCTTGATAGCCACTAACATAAATTTGCCTTTGGCACAGCAGATACCACTAAGTTCTACTCAGTTCTCTGCACAATCATTAGCTCAGGCCATTGGAAGCCAAATCGAAGATACCAGGCGCCCAGCGGAGCCCTCCTTAGCCGGCTTACCTCAGACTATCAGTGGTGACAGTGGGGGACTGTCAGCAGTTTCAGATGGGGGTAGCAGCAGCCTAGCAGCCTCTGCTTCTCTCTTCCCGTTGAAGGTGCTACCGCTGACAACACCCCTGGTGGATGGCGAGGACGAGAGGTAAGATTGTGTGTTTCTGCGGACACTGAGGAGTTCAGAGTCTAGTGGTCATGTGTGTGGGTACAGCTAAGTCTGAAGTATCAGAGCTTTTCGTTTGCATGTGAAAAGTGCATATTCATGGTAAGTTTTCCAGAGTAAGAGTGTTGATGACCTCAGAGTGGGTGGGAAGAAGAATAGGTTATGAAAATAATGTTCACGATAGTTACAAAGTGCAAGCCTATATTGCAAATAGGCTTGGGGCTGCCAGGTAGATTTTTATTGTTTTAAAATGCCTCTAAGAAGATAATTTATGTAAAACAGCCTACATCTCGTTACCCCACGAAATAGTTAAGATATTCTTTTGAGCTACTAAAATCTTTGTGATCATTTCTTGTCGGGGGTTGTGGTTCCCATGTTTGTTCCTGCCATACAGCCCTTTTCTGTTCTAGTACTTTTGATCTTAGACTGTGAAAGATACTGTTACCTGCTTGTCCTCCCAAGGCACTGTGGGAAAGATGACCTAATCTGGGTGATATAGGTTGTCCTCACACTGTTAGTGACCAGCTTTTGTAAACTTAATTTAATGGCTACTTTACCCGAACAAAGGAGGAATACAAATCTTAAGACATGTTTTTCAAGGTCAACAATACTTAGATTTATCCTTGGTAGTGAGTAGTGCTGTACAGTTTTTCTTTTCATAGTAGATGAAGGTGGGAGCCATTTTAAAGAGTGAAATCAGTCAGTCTTAAAGGACTGATTTTAACAAGCTAATCTGTCCCACCTGTTTCTGCTCTCACCAAACACAGTTAAAAGTTCAGTATTAAGCCAGCATTTTCTTTTTCGTTTGTGCTAATCATGTTTAGTGAGTGAGGCTGGCTAGAAAAGCTGTGAACTCGTGTTCCTACATTACTTTAATAATAGTTTTTTTTTTCCTTAGGAACGTTCTTTTTGCAAGTTTGTCAGTGTTTACAGTGATAAGAAGTGGAGTAGTTGTAAAAAGACTTCTTTTTCACTGGAATTTTGAAAAAGTATTTAAGATACTTTTTATTATTAATTATTTTAGTATCTATTGGAGATTTTTGACATTGAATTTTCACCATTCCAGTTGAAGTGTTTATATTCTACATGTGTATTTGTGAGTTTACTCAGGAAAAACTGGGAGCGTTACAAAATAATTTTATAAAAAGAAAACAAGGCCAAATGTTTCAGTGAAATTTTCATGATGTTTTTCTGAGTCGTTTAAAAAGATACAAAGGTTATGATATTGAAATAGGTACTTAAATTTTGCTACTAAACGTAGTTCATATCCTTGTACAAAACTACTTAACAAGACAGATTTCGAAGAGGTAGTTTCAGTAATAGTCCAATTATAATTATTGTTCAGCCTTTAATTTTATTTTTATTGTTCTGTTCCTCACCTGTAATTTCAAATTAAGGAGTTATTTACCCTAATTTTTGCTTCCTGAATCAAAAGGATATGAACTGAATGAAGTTCCTGTCAAAATAATGTATATTATAGATGCTAGCTTAAGGGCAGTGACAGACAGGTGACAGAAATGAAAACCACACACTGGTTACAAACCTGTGAAGGTTTTCTTAATTACTGTTTGTGGGCTCCTGGGAGGACTTTGTTTTCTTCTTGGTAGGTAGGATGGCAGGCCTTTCAAAGACTAGCTGTCCACAGTTAAGACAGGATGCTGCACACTTGTTCTTATGTGTAGAGTGAGTCCCAGTTTGAGATGCTGCAGAGCCACTTTCCATATAGACAAAGTAACTGAGATAAAAGGCAGGTCAGACACTTGTGATGGGGTGATACCTTCCCGGAAAGCACAAGAACGAATATAAAATATTTGTCTGCAGTAACTGTCATACTTTATCTTACAAGTTTGTGTTAACTGACATCATAGTTAAGTCATCAAAACTGGACGCACTTTTCCCCAGGCCTCCTTCAAGTTCACTGAGGGCTGAGTCCGCTGCTAAGGCACGTGCAAGACCAACCAGCAAGGTCTATTTTATTGCAGACTGTATTATCTCAGTGTAGTTTGGTTTAGGAAAATCATTGAAATTTGCCCTTGGGAGATCATTGGGAATACCTACGAGAGAGAAAAGTGAAGCAAATAAGTACCACTGTTTTACCTTCTTCGTGCCAGCCTCGGTTGCCTGCGTCTTCCAGGCTTTGTCACCATCGGTCTGACCTCCTTTGGAAGAAAGGGTCGTGTCCTCATTTAATTTTATGACCCAGGAAGTATGCTAGCATAAAATTTTTGGTGGCAGAAGAAACCAGACAGACTACCCTTGCATACATAGTGCAGGAGTACTGTAGCTCTTTAGATGTAAATGCTTGCTCAGTACACGTGGAAAGTGCTTTCAGTTGCCCACTGTCACCTGTAAAACTCGGTGGCTATAAACATTACAAATACGTATTGCAATTATGTGATTTATTTTTTTAAAGATCATTGTATTATAAAGATGTTGATGTCTTAGCCTTTAACGTGAACTTAACCTTTACAGGAATGGGAAGATACAGTTATCTTACTCTAATGTTTTGTGCTTGTTAGCAAAGTATTACGTGAAATTCTATTCTCTTGTTTCTAGGCAAAGCTCAGGTGTTCCCTCTGACAAATTTTTCTTCCCCAGGGGGTGTTTCCTCAGCACGATTTACTGTCCCTCTATTTAAGTACTGTGTATTTGGTGATAATTATGTTTACCAGTTTTTCCGTGGGGGTGGGGGGGCTAAAATTTTTTTTAAACAAACTTAGTGAACAGCTCTTTTTGTTTTTCCTATCATGACATAGTTCATTCTGTCATCTTAAGCACACTGTTAGAAATGCAGGTGCTATAATTCATGTAACGAATTCAAATGAGCAGCAGCTTCCTGCTCCTTAAGGTTGAAATGGCATTAACCTTCTAAAGAGGGTTTGTTTTGTATCATACAGGAATGAGTGTGTTCTATTTTCATGCTTATTTTGTGTGTTGCATGTGTGCATGTGAATATGGAAGTCAGAGGTCAAATTCAAGTCTCTATTCCTCACTTGGGTCCACCTTATTTTTTGAGACAGGGTCTCTCACTGAACTGAAGCTCACTCTGTTGGTTGGACTGGCTAACCAGTGAGCTTCAGGGCTACACCTGTCTCCACTTCCCAGGGCTGAGAGTAGAAGCCTGTGCTTCTGCACCAGACTTTTATGTGGGTTCCGGGGTCCATGCTCAGGTTCATGGGCTATGTATATGTAGCACGCACCACATGGAGCGAGCTGTCCCCCAGTCTGGAAATGAGTGTTCTACAAGAAAAGGAACAATGCTTGTTTTACTTATCAAAGTAATGCAAGATACCAAATGTCCTTTAAAAGGCTTTTTGTTCTGAGACAGGGTCTCACTCTAGCCCTGGCTGGCCTTGAACTCACAGATGTCAATCTGCCTTCTGCATGCTGGGGCTAGAGGTGTGTGTCATCACACCTGACCTGAAGTATTTATTTTTTACAGGATCAAAGTCTATACTTGGTACCTTCTTTCTTCCCAGGCTTCCTTTCTGGAACCCTCTAATTTCGTGTAGGTGATTCCTCTTTGACACGCCAGGTTTTCTACTGGACAGGCACCAGTGTGCACTGCTCAGCTTCTTTCCTCTGTCCCTTCCTTTCATGTGACTTTGGGCTTTTTAATTTGCTTATGTCTCAGTTTCCTCACTTGAAAACAGTGAAGGCAATAGCATTTCTCACAAAGTTGTTCCATAAACTAAATGAACTTAGAAAACTCTCAGAACTTAACTCACTGTGCTCCTAAGTTTATTAATACAACAATCCTCACTTTGATTTTATTTGTGTTTTTAAATTTCTTGGATGAAATGAATCTGCCCTGCTGGCCACTCTTGTTCCAATATTACTTTCTCCCAATAGTAATGGTGATATTGCTCTTTAAGTCTTGTGAAAGAATATTCCTTTTTCTGTCCACACACATACCGTGTCCTGTGGCTGCCTTGCTCTTCCCTGTCCCCAGCTATTTAGTGTATTGAAAGAGGTCCTCTCAGAATTCCTTTATCAGCCCACTCTCTTCTCCAGGTTACCTATCCTGGTTCCCATCTTGATCGAGTCCCTCTTGAGCTCTCTGGTGATTCTGAGGTTTGGTGTTTGCACTTCAGTGCCAACAGGCTAGAGAGCCACTTAGAACATTGAAGTTCCACTTAGTATGGAACTTGGCTTGCCGTGAGGTGGCTGAAGTTTGTCCCCACCACACCCTATGTTTAGGTTCCTCTTTCATCACTAATTAGCTGTATCACCCACCTCTCGGTATTAATTAATAAGATTAATTTCTGAGGAAGCCTAGTGTCACTCTGGTGTCTGTTCTGGGCAGTCACCTAGGCTTGCTACTCATCAGTTACTCTAGGATTCCCTGTGTCACTTTCCCCAGTGGTCCATCTTCACTTTCCGCAGCCAGGGCTGACTTCGTTCTTGACTCATTTGCTGTTTTTAGATGGTGCCAGCTTACCTTTACACCCACTCATTTGATTCTTTGATTAGGTAGAGGATACCGGGTTCTCTTGCAGCTCTGCTGAAACCACTTCCTAGCTCCCGTATTGCCTTTCTCATTCTGTAACCAAAGGTTTCTTAAGTTGGATATGATTTGATTTTGCTTTCCTTCTCTCTTTCTCAGTTTTGAAATCTATGAAAGCTTTTAAGACTTGGTTCCATTGTTTTAAATTTTACATGGATTGCATGTGTGTGGTTGGGAGAGGGCGGGGTGGGCGGGGGAATCTGCTTTTATTCATGAGTTTTTGGTGTGTGTTGTTGCAGCCTGGAAAGTTTCTGATGATGATGAGACTGAACTCGGGGCCTCACGTAGACTTGGCAAACGCTCTGCCAGTGAGCTACATACCAAACGTTTCCTCCTCCTCACACTTACTTACATAATGGGCCTCCTTGACTGGTCTTCTGATTTCCTTGGTTTTCTTCTTTCTCTTTGCCTGTCTCTGTTGACTTTTCCTTAAAATTTCCATGAGCTTTTTTGTTGATCTTTGCTTCTTGTTAGC